TGTGAAATTGGAAAGGTAAAAATTGGTATGCGATTAAATCAGACGAAGAAGCTTCTGTTGCGCCCAACGAGCAAATAATTAACATCTTCTCGTACTTGACGAGAATATAATTTTTTTGAAATCGCAGCCTTTATTCTGGTTTACTCCATGCACCGAAAAGTATAATACATTTTTTTTATCCCACTACGTTTCTCATTTCCTTCAAAACCATAAACACTCATGCCAATTCACGGTTTTTTTTTAAATCATAATTGAATTACCTTTAATCCTTGGAAAAAAAATTCTACCAAGAACATTCATGCTGACATGGTTGCTACATTAGGGGATGTCTATACATATTTGCTGACACTGCAAAAGTAGGCAGTTGAATTTAGAAGGGGAGGGGAATCTTGAAGTTGCTTTGCTTTGCTTTCTCCTTCGCTTTGAGGGAATCACGTCTCCTTGATTTTCTGACTTAATACTTGATAGCCCGGTCTTCCATTCAATTTAAAAGTTATCTTGTTAGAATAGCCGGATTCAACCTTTTTTTTCCAATGGCATTATTGAGAGAAGGAACGCAACAGTGTATGAAGAAATTTTAACGCAGACAGCTAATTTACGCACAAAAACTATTCCCTGCACACTTCTACCATGTTACTAAACAAATTCTCAATACATATGCTAATGGTTTGTACCTATTTACTCACAGTTTGTGTTTCTAATGATTGATGCAAGAATAAAAATGATGAATTCGAAAATACTTCTTAAAACAAAAAAAAATATCAGTCCGTTTGTCTGGCATTTTCATGTGCACAAATCATGATTGTGATTTCGACAACGCAATTCAACCAGCAACCATATTGATTCAAAAAGTAAGACTGAAATGTTGTCTGTTAAGTGCCATGGCAATACTCTAATATAAGATATGCAGTAAATTCTTATGCAGCAAACGATATATATTTCTTTATTGTTCAAAAATTCTACTTATTTATTGTAGTTTCATCTGTCTTCTATTTGTTGTTTCCCAAGACCAAGACAATAGCTTCTTTCTATGTAAATTTTTATTTTGTATACTAACACTCGAGGGATACAACGTGTAACGGCTGTATCTATACCAGCACTTGACTTTTTTAGTATATTTATAAACATTGTAGGAATATTGGCTTCTGAAAAATGCAGCTGTTCTACACACACACACACACACACACACACACACATATATATATATATATATATATATATATATATATATATATATATATATATATATGAAAGAAAGTGAATGCTGATGGAAAAATACTAAGAAATAAAAGTAGTGTTACCATGCAGGAAAAATGTAAAGTTGCCATGTAGAAAAAGGATCTAAAATCAAAATAACAAATCATAAAAATACTGATATTCAGCAAAAATGCAATGGACGGTACTTATGGCCAAGAGAAAGTGAAGCTATCTTGAGAGCGATAGTAGAGTTAGAGTCAATCTTCATACCCTCACTTTTTTTGGACTCAGATATTTATATATGATGGTCAGTGGTGCATTATGATTAATATTAGAGTCGTGCTGTTTTGTATGCATGAATTTCAACTCTTATTAATAACTGCAGTGTTCATAGAATATTATTGAAGTAAATAGTAGCGACGTCTCTTGCGAATGGAAATATTTCGCATCATGGTGCTATCAAATCCCTGCAGAAAAGGTTTTAGCAACCAAGGACATTAATAATGGCTACATTAGGTGATGTCGATTAGTCGACAGTTCAAAAGTGGACAGTTGAATTTAGAGGGGTAGAGAGAATCTTGAAGATTACCCAAGGTCTGAACGTTCTGCAGCTACCACCACCTTTTGTGATGTCAACGAACACTCTTTGCATCTTTTGTGATGTCAACGAACCGTCTTTGCATCTTTTGTGATGTCAATGAACACTCTTTGCATCTTTTTGATGTGAACTCTCGTTGCATCTTTTCATGTCGAACACTCTTTGCATCTTTTGTGATGTCAACGAACCGTCTTTGCATCTTTTGTGATGTCAATGAACACTCTTTGCATCTTTTGTGATGTCAAGGAACTCTCGTTGCATCTTTTGTAATGTCAATGAACACTCTTTGCATCTTTTGGGATGTCAACGAACCGTCTTTGCATCTTTTGTGATGTCAACGAACACTCTTTGCATCTTTTGGGATGTCAAGGAACTCTCGTTGCATCTTTTGTAATGTCAATGAACACTCTTTGCATCTTTTGGGATGTCAACGAACACTCTTTGCATCTTTTGTGATGTCAACGAATTCTAGGTGTGTCACTTTTGTAATTCTCGTTGTAGTAGAGATTTCGTACTCCTGTTAGCCATTTTAAAATTGTGTTAGCCTTCTACCTTTTTTGTAAAACTACTAGAGGCCCTAATCAATGATGCATTTGTTAAACATCTGACGTTGCAGGGATTTATTTCCGACAAACAATATAGTTTTCATTTCTCCAGGTTAACTGCTGATGTATTAACTATTATTGCGGAAATAGTATATCAAGCTTAAGATATGAATAGCAAAGCACAGGCTGTTGCATTTAACACCTGGAAAGCGTTCGATATAATTTGGCATGCGGATCTTCTTTACAAGTTGATAAGTTGTTGTGTCTTTTTTGAACTGATTCACTTTTTCTTATCAAATCGCAAAATGAAATTTGTCCTCAACGGCCATACTTCTAGATCCTTTCATACCAATGAATGCGACCCCACAATACTCTATCCTTAGCGCTAATTTCTTTTTAAATTTAATTAACGACATTCCAGATAGCACAAGCTCTCAATTTGATATATGTGCTGATGGCACTAACATTTACTCCGGTATTTATAGTAAGTCTAATCAGTTCGATGATATTGGCAGCTGATGTCATAAACCATCTACAGCCTGTTGTTAACTGGGGCAAAGGGTGGCTTGGTAATTTCAACGCCTTCAAAACAAAACTGCTTTATTTTAATCATCTGAGAGCCCTATCGGTCTTTCATCACCTTGTAAGTTGTTGATCGCCTTCTCAGGCAACGTTCAAGACTATGGTGAATCCATTGCTGCTATGAAAGCTGGTTCAGTGTGTAGTGCTCGCCTATGCTTAGAATATTGATGCCAAGCATGGAGCAGTGCTCCTGCTAGATATTTAGAGATTCTTCATGAAATCCAATGAAGAATTAGCAATATTATGGGCTCTTTAATAGCGTTTTGGCTTCAGTCACTTTCCAACCGAATTAAAGTTACTGCTTTGTAACTTTTTGATAATTATGTTCATAGTAATTGTTCAGATAAGTTCTTCGCTATCGTAACTAGATTTTATTAATGAAAACGCAGTAGTAGAGTCTTAAGGTTTAATTAAGTTATAGCGGAATTAGCTAGATGTAACCATAATTCCTATATTAGCAGTTTCGTTTCTCGCACTTCTTGTTTGTGGAACTCTCTTCCATTTCACTGTTTTCCAATTAAGTTTGATCTTCAAAGATTTAGATGCAATGTCAATCGCTATGCATTGTCTTCCTGATGACTCTTCTATTGCTGTTAATGTTTAGTAATATTTCTGCCTTTTTAATTCTTTCACATCCAGTAAGCTCTTGTGTCTTAGTTGCTTTAATTCCTTTCTTGGGGCAAATCAGATTTTGTACAATAAATAAAGATAATATGGCATAATCATAGGAGTTCGGAAATAACGGCTTATATTTGAAAGAAACTAAACTGAAGTATATGTTAGGGCGTATTATTCATCAGGTAATTGCAATTTGCAAGGTAATGAGAGTAGCGAAATGAAGAAATGGAATTGTTTCCGGGATCTTTAGTTTGACTACAGAATTATACAACACATTTTCTTCTGATAATATTTATCTAGAGGAAAAATGACTGCGATTTGTAATTATTTGCACAATGATAATCGTTAAATCCCGATTTATGGTCAAAGCTGTTTATATGCATTTCGTAAAATAAAGAGACAGTCATAAACCCATTGTTAAAAATTATATTCACCAAGCATTTTTTACTAGAACAATGACAAAAAGAGAAAAATACCAAGGGGGAAAAGACGATGGAAGTGGAAGAGATAAAGAGAATATAAACAACAGAAAGAGTAGCAATGAAAAATAAAAAAATGTGATAGATAAATAAAGAATGATGTACAGTAGAATCACTTATATCCGGAAATTCCTCAAATCTGGAATCGATCATATCCTGAGTGACTCATATCTGGAGTTTCTTATATCCGGACATGATTTGAACTATTTGAGGGATATGTAACTGAATTGAAATTTCTGTTTTTCAGGAAATTTATTTGGATAATTGCTTATGCTTATTTCACCTTAATGGCTTTTGTTCGTGCAAAAGATGATGGAAATAAGAGGAAAAGAACAACTTTGGAGTTATCGCAAAAACTGGTAATTTTAAAGAGACTAGACGCTGGTAAAAGTTCATTGTAACTAATGGCTGAGTTGAAAATACGAAACTCAACATTGCATAATATAAAATTTTCCAAAGAAAATGAACAACAGAATAAAAAAATACATGATTGTGATGAAACCTGGATTGAAACTGAAAAATATATTGAAAAGCTTATCAGTTTTATGGAAAGAAAGCCAGCATTCAGATATGACGATTACAATAACGCAGTTAAAAAGTGTCTTTCCTTAAAAAAAAATTCAAGAATAAAATCAAAACGAAATGCGGAAAAATTTGAGGATTAAGTTAGGAGTGAAAGAATCATTATGCAAAAGTGATTAAAACATCCTCGTTACATTATTTGTTTTACATACATAGCATAATTAATTTAATGAATTTTCATTAACATTACATAATTTATTTATTTTTCCTTAAAATAAATTCCGTTATATTTCACTTACCATTAGCGTATTTTGTTTACTATTAAATATTGAATATAAATGCTAAACCTGATTTCAATATAAATTTTAATATGAATATAACCGCTCATATCCGGACTTTTTAACCAATGCCTCATATCCGGTAGCCTTTCTTTGTCCGATTGTAAGTGATTCTATCGTATTAGGAATAGTGGGAAAGAAAGAAAGAAAGAAAGAAAGAAAGAAAGAAAGAAAGAAAGAAAGAAAGAAAGAAAAACAAAGTAGGGGAATAAGAAAGAGTGTCAGGAAGAGAAAAGAAAGAAATATAAGAAGAAAGAGAGCAAGAAAGAAAAAGAAATGATAAAGTAATAAACAAATAAACAGAATGAAGAATGGGAGGAAGAAACGAAAAGAAACAAAGAAAAATCAAGAAAGAAATAAGGAAGAAAATTACTAAAGGAAGGATAAAAACAACGAGAGAGATATTTCAATAAAAAATATAAAGCAAACAGAAAAGAATAAAGAAAGCAAAAAAAAATTTGACGCTATCCAAAGTCGTCGTTGATTTATATATTTTCGACTATGCCCAAAATAACCTGAATCGAAACAGACATTTTGTATCGATGCCTCATACCTCGTTTTTCACTCTTCTGTATATAGATCTCACTTATTCTTGCATGTTCTGACGACTACCAGGACCATTCACATGCAAACCCTCATAATAGAAATCTGCACCTTCCAAGAACCTAAGGTACATATTTTCTTTTCGTTTTGTCGTCATACGTTTTAACAGCAACCCAACTGAAAACGCCTACGTTTCCAAATAGCATTTCCTTTTATTTGCGTATATATCCTGCTGTGCATTTCTGCTGGTCCTTTTTTTTTTCTATCCGCAAGATGAAGTTCTATCAATGAGCAGATCAGCTGGACTGGAGTGAAATATATTTGTATATAAACTGATAAATTCGATCATTTCGGTATTGGGAACAGCGAATGAATTCGATTTGCCGCCCAGTTTTGTCATGGCGAGCAAATAATGGCTTCTTAATTCTTACTATTAACGTAACAAATGTATCAATTATTACGCTATTTTCAAGGTCATGAGGAGAATAATACAACAACATATAATAATAAATCTCAGTAATTTTAGCACTGCTACATAAATTTGCTTTCATGTAGATTTATTGGATTACGTAAATTATATATATATATATATATATATATATATATATATATATATATATATATATATATATATATATATATATATATATATATATATATATATATATATATATATATATAGAGAGAGAGAGAGAGAGAGAGAGAGGGAGAGAGAGTTTGATGGACAAATTTTATATTTCCTATCTTCACACGTGTGCGTTTTTTGTTTTTGATTTTATCGACTGCAAAGTATATTAGGGTCAGTTGGGCACCGTCTGTGAGGAAAAAGAGCACCATGACGCAATTCGCTCCACCAGAAACTTGTAAACGGCATGCTGTAGTGATTGGCATTCGCACCAGAAGTTCGAATGCAAACATTTTAAGCGGCGATATTCTGTTTTATACTTGAATGCAATCTCCATGACCTGGAGATTACGTTACAAGCATTAAACAAACTGTCGCCGTTTCTTGTTGACATTAGTGCCTACCTACTTAAGCATCAAATCAATTTCTTCGTGTTTTTTTTAACATTTAAATTACTATCAAACATTAAAATCTATTTTTTTTACATAAATTGCTAAAAATATACCACCCCCACTTCTTCCTACGTAAAACCTAATTACAGCTTCTGTCTCTTTACTTCCCCCTTCTTTCTTTTTTCTTTTTCTTTTTCTCTCTTTTTCCCGCCCATTTCAATATATCACTTCCGTTAAGTTCACCGTTTCAATAGGTCATGGTCTGGTCCCTCCCCCAATATTAAGTATGATTGAAAGAAAAATAAAATAAACCCTCTCTAAACTCGCCCATGTCTCTCACACCACTCCTCCCTACCCTTTCTGTTAAATTACATAAACTTGATACTACCCGTCAAAAATGTGAATTTTCATTTCCTCTTTCATTTAATTTTTGGAAGTTTTATCTGATGATTCAGCGTCCCTTAAAAGGGCTCTGGTGAAATGTGGCACCATGCATCCAGGTGATTTGAAAGATATATTTATAGATATATGATTTGCTTTTTTACGGTTTATCAACCATTTGAGGATTATCTAAGGCCGAAATGTATTTTAGGTTTTAAGAATAATTCTTTAATTTTTTTGCCAGAGGATTGAACCGCCATGCATTCAGGCGATTTGGAAGAAAGAAAGAGAAAACAAAGAAAAGGAAAATGAAAAAGTAATACGAGACGGGTCATAGGCGAACACACACACACACGGTTTAAGAGACGGGAATAAGAAAGAAAAGGGTTATTTTTGATAAGTATCAAATGTCGAAAAGAGTTTCATTTCAATGACAATGAGATTGAGTGGGCGAGGAGGTGTTATCAATATCTAGGCCACCTGCGAACAAGCGTTGACCGATTTCCGCTTATCCGCGAAAAATGGAATTGTGTTATCAAGAGATGTCACCAAAGAAGAAGTCCACTTTGGAACGTTAGATTTTGATAATTGACGAAACACAGGTGTGGCTTGGGGCCTTGGCTGGGTATGGAAAATTAAAATCCCACACAAGTAGTTTCACTGGCTAAGTTTTTTTTTTGACAGAATAGACTTTTGCCCTGCGATAATAAAATTTTGTTATCAAACACATGAACCGAAGGAAACTGACATATTTTTATTTCTGCTTTGGAGACGCCAAATTGGCGAAAAACTTGGAGAAAATTCCTTTCTTAGACCATGTCAGATAATCCAGCTGTCCAGTGCATTACCGATAAACTGCTTGACAAACGCCACGTGTTGAACAGAGAGTTGTCATATTAACCGCCCATGATAACGGCGATTTGTAAGAAAGAAAAATAGAAAGAGGAGAGATCATTAATTTTTTTTTAGTTAAGCAAAGTATATTTCTTTTCCAAAACAAAGCCACGGGTTGTTCACGCCCGACTAAGACGTCATTGGCCAAGTGGTGATCACATGACGCACGAAGGAGGAGGAAAGATACCCGGCCAAGACCTTATTGGCCGAGAGTGGTCACGTGACGCCCGAAGAAAACAGTCGACGCCCTATCCAGAGTATAAGTATGAGAAGCCGCTACGAAGAAGTGAGGAGGGCAGTTCACGCCCTCAGAAGCATGGTGAGAAAAGGGAGTGAGAAAAAAGTTACCAAAAATGGAAAAAGTGGAAAATCCTAACAAGAAATAAGAAGGGTGGATATGTATTTAGAATTATCGAGGAACCCCTGACGCCAAACAGACCCACCCCGGTTTTTGTCGGCGTCAATAAAAGCGAGAACCCCACAGGCAGAAATCAGTTCGCGCCCCGACGGCAGAGATGAGTGCCCAGAAGTTCGCGCCCCGACGGCAGAGATGAGTGCCCAGAAGTTCGCGCCCCGACGGCAGGGATGAGTGCCCAGTTCGTTCGACCCAGGCGGGCAGAGAAGAGTTCGTTTGGCCCTGAGTGCCGAGTTCTTCGAACTCTGGCAGGCAGAGTTAGTTCAGTTAGCGCCCCGACGGCAGAGATGAGTGCCCAGAAGTTCGCGCACCGAAGGCAGAGATGATAGATCAAGATAGCTGACCAAGATTCACGCAAAATTTTGGACTCTTCTTCAACCAAGAACAATTAGTTTGAAGAGCGACTTAGAACCAGACCACAGAAATAAGTTTTTCGAATTTCGTCCAAAGACACACCGAAACACCAATTTCTTAGAGAGCAGACAACTTGAAGCGTTAAAACTTGCCTAGCGAAAGCGACGTGCCACTATCCACAGAACGGGTCGGGAGATAGATGCAGTCCTATGTACCGAACAACTAGACATAAAAAGTTTGTTACCTTTTTCTTTGATACTTGGATCTTTTTGAGTTTTCATTTTCTTTTCTTTTCTGCATATTTGTGTGTTATCACCCCCGTTGAACTCAATTTGCATTACGGCCCCAACCCCTGTTTGATCTCGTCTGTCTAAGACCAATTCACAACGTGGGTAGGCAGACTGGAGATCAGTGCAGTTACCTTGGTAACCAGGCGTTGGAAGCAGGTTGGGAACGGCGAGGCTGATATCAAATCTAACCAGATTCCTACCCGAATCACCAAAGGGTTAGAACGTCACGTTTGGAGCAGCGATACCCGGACGGAGCAGCGAGGAGCGAACAGCTGGCGCCGCGGCGAAGACGTCACAATTGGTGCTGTTTAGGGACGTCACATCTGGTGTCGTGACCGGGATAGGACCTGGAACGACCACGTCACAACTGGCGCCGTGGTAGATCAGGATAGAACATCACAGTTGGCGCTGCGACCGGGGACGACGTCAGAAATTATTACCTCTGGATTTACATTAAGCTCTCAGGATTTCATCCTCCTTGGAACTACCCACACGGATTACCAAGTTTTTTTCACAATTTTTTATATATTTATATATATATATATATATATATATATATATATATATATATAAACGAACCAGGAATGAAAAACAAACCATGAATTTAGAAAAGTTCCACGGACTTAAAATGTGTTTGTGGTCGGAAAATCAGGTCCCAAAGGGAGCGAAGATTCACCTTACAAAAATGGGTTGTGCTTCTCTGAAAACGGTTCAGGAGCAGCGCTCTGTCAACACAGATAAGATGTCAGAAAACCAATGCCAGGATGCATACCACAGTGCTGAGGATATCCAAGCTGCTGAATCAAAGGATGGGACGTAACCCAAACTGCCAAGAATCAAATTTCCACCAGCATCCAACTCGGAAGCGTGGTGTATGCTAGACAACATCATTGGCAAAACATTACGTAAAGAGCTGGGAAGAAAGAAATATCACGAACGTTTGAACGAAAGTAGTAAAATAATCTACAGAGTTTGTAAGGAAATCTACGGCGTGAAGGAGGAAAATGATAAGCCACCACCCAAAAAGAACAGGCGTCAACGGTTAATGCAAGATTTGAGAAACAAAAAAAGAAATCTAAAACGACAAATCCGTTTCGCAAATTTTGACGAGAAAGAAGGCTTGCTTTAAAATCTGGCAGGGCCTTAAAGAGAAGCACAACGCTCTTAGTTGAAAGTTTAAGAAAGGGACGAGTGAAACGAAGTAAAGACCAAGAGTGTTTCTTCCAGGAACCTTACAAATATGCGAGGAATATATTTGATCAACCAAGAGCAGGTGTGCTTAAAATAGAGAAATATGTTCTAGAGGAACATTTAAAATGTATGTACTCTGATCCTAAACGACATATTCCTCTAGATCATAATAGCAACTTACTTTGGCTAGCCGTTTCTAAAGTGAAGTTTGACGTGAAACCACCCACACGCGAAGAAATAAAACGCATAGTCGACAAAAGTAGGAATAAATCTGCACCAGGCCCTAACGGAATACCCTTCCTTCTATACAAAAAATGTCCTACTCTTCTTAAATTGTTACATACTAACTTAAAATTAGCATGGAAAAATTACCATATCAGCCAACAGGGGATGATAGCGGCAGGGGTGTACATACCCAAAGAAAAGAATTACAAGGACATCAGTCAATTTCGGCCAATTTCGCTTCTCACTGTAGAAGGAAAGAATATCTTTCGCAGTTTTGGCATCGAGGTTGACCAAATACCTTCTCGATAATGAGTATATCGATACGTCAGTACAGAAGGGTGGTGTTCCAGCAATAGCTGGTTGCTTAGAGCATAGAAACATGATCTGGGTGGCCATTCAAACAGCAAAAATTAAAAGAAAAGATTTAGATGTCATTTGGTTGGATTTAGCTAATGCCTACGGATCAGTACCTCACCAAATGATACAATTATCATTACAAATGTACCGTATTTATGAGGAAATATCTATTATGCTAGGAACTTATTTTCATGGTTTCCTCATGCGTTTCACTACAAAAGACTTTACGACTAAGTGGAATAGACTTGAAGTTAGAATTGCGATGGGATGTACAGTGTCACCAATACTTTTCGTTCTAGCAATGCAGCTGATTCTCAGAGCGACAAACGACAAGGCTGATGTTGTTGAGCTTGGTGGAGGTTGTCAAATGCCACCAGTGAAAGCGTTCATGGATGACACTATATTCCTCTCATCTAAAGTAAGTTCAACTCGCAAGATATTAAGTTTGATAGACGACCTGATAAGTTGGTGTAGGATGAAATTTAAACCAAACAAGTCCAGAAGTCTTTCTCTTACAAAAGGAAAGTTGAATAAAAACATAAATTTTGTAGTAGGTGGCCAAAGAATCCCTACTGTATCAGAAAAAGCAGTGAAAAGTTTAGGTCGGTGGTACGATCAATCCTTAAAAGATACCAACAAACTAAAAGGAACATCCAGGTCATTACAGGTAGATCTCCATAAGATAGATCTTCGTCCTCTAAAAGAAAAATACAAGGTATGGTGCTTAGAGCATGTGCTCATTCCAATGCTACTATTCTTGTGTACGGATTTGGAATAAGTACAATTGAGTCAATGGAAAGAAAAATGAACAAATATATTCGAAAATGGTTGGGTTTGCCTCCAAGTTTGTCTGATATCGCATTGTACTGCAGACAAGCAAAACTAAAGTTGCTATTTAAATCGATTATGTAAGAGTATAAATCCGGAAAAATTAGATTTCAAATGGTGTTGTATGACTCCAAGGATGAAGCAATAAAAACACTAAAGCCTACATTAAAAAAAGGGAGAAAGTGTAAGTTCTACATATGACCTGCTACCATCTAAGAACAATATTGTTAAATGGAAGAAAGAGAGTGATCCTACTTTTCCTCTGTGTCAGGAAAAGCCACAAATATTAGAAAATGTTCTTAGTTCCTGTAAAACAGCCCTTGTCAATGGAAGATATACATGGAGGCACAATAGTGTTTTGGATGAGCTGGTCAAAATTATAAATATATGAAGTCTGGGTCATCTGATTCAGCCCAGAAATTTGTTGCAGAAGGAAAAAGATATGTCGGTTCTAAGCAAACAAGCAAATCTAATGTTATACACGGAAAAAAAAATCTCCTTAGTTCTGGTGGCATCTGGGAGGTATCTGCAGACCTTCCTGGTTGGCGTAATGATTACCCCAAAATAATATCAAGTAAAGGTCTGCGACCAGATATTGTTCTTCTGTCAAGGGTGAACTATAAAATGATCCTGGTTGAATTAACAGTACCATATGAATGCCGGATGGAACAAAGCCACGATTATAAAACTAATAAATATGATAGCTAATAAAGGAGGGATATAATGTAATTGTTAGATCAGTGGAAATCGGAGGAAGGGGTTTTGTTTCAGGCACTCTGTACCAATTTCTGTGCCAAATTGGAATCAAAGGGCGTAATAGGGCCAAAAGTATAAAACGCCTAATAGAAGTAACTAAGAATAGTTCCATGTGGATATGGAAAAAAGAAATACTCCGTAGAGTGTTTCAGCAAACATGACGGCATGATATGACTGATCGTGAATGCGTAAGGAGGTTCACGTTGCCTTGTCAGCACGCGAGGTTTGCTGTTTTTCGGAATTTTCGTTAATTTAATTTCGCCGTTACACATTTGAACTAGTTTATCTACATCACTTGTATATCGTTATAATGGGGCCTCACATCAGTGAGGTGGGGGCGGTATGCAACTGAAACCGTTGAGAGGAAGGCCCCGAAACGGTGCACATACTCTCCTGATGATCCCAGTTTAAATAAAAATTCGAGAGGAACATATCAAAATCCAGTCATATGCCGTAGTGAAGCTTCGTGGAAGTGTCATTGGCATGAGAAGCATTACACATTCAGCTCGCTTCAGGTGAGTTTCAATTACTTTCCAGTAATTTCCTTCTTTTATATATATATATATACATGAATTATTGACACAAAACTAATGCAAAGGTTAATGCTTTAAATGGCGAGACATCCATCATCGCAAACAATTCAAATAGTATACAAAAACCTCCAGATCCGCTATGAATGAATTGATCCTTGTGCGACTTTTGGATAATAAGTGCCACATTACTGTAATTATTGAACAATATAGTTCATGCCACTTTGACAGAAAAATTTACCAGTAAAAAATTTGTTCAACACCATATTTGGTATAAACGCAAACACTTTAAAAATTTAAAATCAAACTCAGCGTTGCTTTGGCGCGTTCCAAAACCAATAACTCATTTTCAATAGCATTTTCGGATACAACAACACATATTTTCGTTGTCCTCTTATTACTAAGAGAAAAAACCAAGAACAACATCTATTCTATACCTGAAGATATCTGTAGGAACAGATGAAAGCTTGTAGTAAAAATAACAACTAATACGGCAGAAATTTATATAAACAAGGATCAATTCATTCATAACGGATCTGGAGGTTTTTGTATACTATTTGAATTGTTTGCGATGATGGATGTCTCGCCATTTAAAGCATTAACCTTTGCATTAGTTTTGTGTGAATAATTCATGTATTTGTAAATTGATTGCACGTTTATCGTAATATATATATATATATATATATATATATATATATATATATATATATATATATATATCCTTCTTTTATGTGATGTTTAGCGTCAATAAGTGGGTGATTACATCTCTGCATAAATTTCTATCTTTTGTCTAAAATTCTGAGATGAGGTATTGTAAATATTTACACTATTTATATTGTTCGGACTGTTGCCCTCATCACTAATGCCGTATTCAAGACGTTCTTTCAGGTGATGTTTGTTGGAATTTAAAACTGAAAACCTTTGTTTAGCTCACAGGGGTAGATTCTGTTAATTCCACGTGCTATATCTTTAAATATCCGTTATAATTTGAACGAATGTGTGTCCCGTTACTATCACACCAATTCCCTGATCTATCATTAATTATCAAAATCTCGTGATATAGTTTACTTTGTGTTTCCTTCTGATCTTCTTACAAATTTTTCCTGTGACTCTCAAAATCTCAAACCGTCATCTATCTCTTTCTATTCTGTATAAAACTTGCCGAAATACCTTCACCTTGCTTCGTGTCACACATTTTTTTAAGAAAATAGAGATATTAAATCATTGTTATAATTTTTAAAGAAAGATAATGATCTTTCCTAAGTGACCTCCATCTTCTGATTTTCTCCTTCTTTATTTTGTACAGGAGTCATTCCCTTCTTCAAAATAATTTTAATTTAAATCAAAGGGAAAAATTTCAGTCTATGGTTTGTGTCCATCTCAGGACCCCCTTATTCAAGTGATTTAGGAGTCATTCACTTATTCGAATTTTATTATATATATATATATATATATATATATATATATATATATATATATATATATATATATATCAAAGAGAAAAAAAAACATACCGTGGACCACCTTTGATCAAAATGAAATATACCTATTCAAGTACCCTTGCTCATGTCGTTTCAGAATATATATGATTATAGTGGTCTATCTCCAAAACCTAGGATGAGTTCTATAACAAACAAACACACTGACAGAGGCTAAACTTTATATATGTAGATTGAAAGTATTTAAAAGAAATATTTTAAGTCTTATTCATTGTTAATGTGTTTTTTTTTCTGGTATTTTCACCTGTTGTGTAAACTCTCATATTCATCACTGTCAAAATTAATACCGGCATATAGGAGCAGTGTTATTTCATATTATTTCTGCAACTGTTACTTATTGGCTACGGTAATTTCCTGAGTTAATACTCTTTTTATATACGTTGCTTATCAACTATCTAGTTTTCAAAAGAGATTTCTAGAAATATTTGCATTTATCAAATCAAAATAACAGGATTCTTTTTCCTAATTTATTCATCTACTAGGGACATTAGCCATTGCCTGTTGAAGACGCCTGCCCAAGCAATTTTTTGTTTCTTCTAACCCAACGAATGGCAACTATTTGTTTATAATCACAGTAATATTGGTAAAGTTTCCGGAAGAGAACGCATCATTTTCCTGGTATGATCAATGAAATTATGTTCAAACACTCAGTCACGATGACTTAGGATTTTGTGTTAGCTTGACCATCGAATGTTTCTCAAGATTTACGACTACAACATTTCACTCAAAAGCCGAGAGTCAAACTTTCTTATCATT